TACTGTGCCGTTTTAACCGGATTGTGTTACATGTACGTCAGATAAACTCAGCCGTAGTGCACCGTTTTATGTGTGATTCTATTGCCTGTGATCGGGTTTGATGACTTCACCGCCCCGTCTTCTCAGTTTGATTGCCCCCTACAACGGTTTACTGTTGGACGCTCGACTGAAGTGGCCACGTTAGCCGTACCTGTGGGAGGTCTTCCGTTCCACTTTCATAGATTAGGCCCATATACACGGCTAATCGGTACAAATGTGCCCAAATGTCGCAAGTTTAATTTTTATCAGCGTAAAAAATGGTGGAGGAGGCATTCAGCCACATGGGACTGCTCTATAAAAATATGGAAGATCGAAAACCATCCTTAAGGGTGGCGAGGGGCCATGTTTAACCGATAATCTAAAGTCGATCATTGTCTTGTTCACCGGCTAGGATAGAGTAGAAAGGCGGATCAGCAGATCGGCCACATTTCCGGTACGCCACGAGTTAGCTCTGTTAAAGGCCAGAGGAAGTCGAGCTACGGCTAAACATGGTCAGAGTACTAGATGATGATATAATAGAGATTTTTTATGGAAAATCGAAGGTTTCAATAATAGATGTAATTATCGAAACAGTTAGGTATATTAGCTCAACTGATCTAGAGCAAATTATCTATAAATAGATAAAAGTACTTTTATACGGCTTCAAAGCCAACCTATAGGGTTTGGGTCTTAAGGAACGTTTTGCTTATCTTAGTAATATAAATTTGCAGGTTCTAATTATAATAGACAGGCTACGCACCTTGCTCAAGGGAAAAGCTCTTACGAAAATTAAAAAAAAACTCAGAATCCTATTAAACGCCTGCATAGATTTTAGTAGGAGCTCATAATTTACTCAAAACGTAATAACATGACAGGTGTTGATATATATTTAAAATTCAAGTCAAATTTTAGATTGCAGCTAGTCTTTCGTCTTGACTTCCCTAAAGCGGTGACGTAATGAAAGTACAAAAAATCAATTACTGAAAACCTTTTGGTCATATATGTAAGTCGTATTTCTTTGTACGAGTTTTTACGATCTACTCTTCTCGTCTGCTTCCAAGCTATTACGAAACATATAGGGACAGAAGGTCTATTGGCGCAGCTATTGGCGTATTATAACCAATTCATCTAAGAGAAGAGATGGAATACCGAGGCTAACTTACTTTGAGCTTCACCGTATGCGCCGCTAAAGATAAACAAGTGATCATGGGTTGACTTAACACTATTACCAATAATATAAAATCCATGCTCTTTCATATATGACTCAATTACTTTGAATTAATGGACTAACCAGTAATTAACTGGTTCAAAATGGTATTAGTGGTAATCTCGACTCGCTGATGCTATCTCTTGATAAAGCAGGCAATTATGGCAAAGACTCGGTGGCATTTCATAGATTGAAGCTCATGCACTTCAGGCTTGCAGGAAGGTTTCATGATAACGTACGTAACAGAATGGTCGTATTTCCACTGACAGAAACATCATTCTTTACGGAAGACCGGTTTAAATCTGAGGCTTGCAAACGTTTGAACGAAGTCTAGCAAAACAATATTAGGTATCCATTTCCAGATTTCTCTCAATATAAAAGATCGTATTGAATCTGATTTTTATTTTGTTATGATACGGACATCGCGTTCAACGATGAAAACTGGCTTCGGAGCAGGACCAAGCGGTCCGATGGCTCGATGTGATCACACATGTTGACAACAATGAGAATCAACTATGGTTACCTTGAGCTTTTGTTATCTAAAACTGAAATGTTTTGTCTAATTTAATATCAGCGTATCCTTCTCATATTCACTTTAACTTAAAGGAACTTCAAAGATATTCACGACAGAACTGGGACGGACCATTGAGTACGGTGGATCTCGTGACTATGTATAGCGGATGGCCATTTTGTCCAATATACGGGAATGTTCCCGGAAGGTTCTAGGAGCCTTTGACAACAACTGAGAGAAAGTAACATAGCAACTGGTGCCTCGCACTGGGACCGATACTTAGCGATGTAACCCGAATGGCCCCCTCTTGGAATGACCCCCGTTTTAACCTCATGATTCGCATATGGGATGATTTAGTAAATAGGAAGGTAAAATGGAGAGTAGTTCCTGGGGAAATAGTAGGCAAAATTATTAGACGCCTAGGATAAATGTAATAGCATTTGTGTCACTTACGTCCAAAAAAAAAGTTGCACTCAAAACTCTGGGGAGTAAATGTGTGCAATACAGTAGAAAGCCTCCACAGCTCCCTCTGGGGCAGAAATAGGCCGCGATTCACATGCATGTGTGGCCATAATGGCCTATGATACGGCGTCTCGTGTCCATCCATCGACAACTGCTGCCATACTATCAGACCTTTTTTAGAATATTTTTTCCCTATTGTTTTTTCCTATTAAACATTGATTTTATGACCTGGTGTCTTCCATTTGACAAAATGAAAGTCATTTGGCTAAACTTCTGTAATGAGGCACCTAACGCTTATTGATTCCTGTCAGATGGAACCAAACCAAAAGATAATTTCCTATCCTATTAGAGTTGTTGTCTGATCTTTATTTGCAGTAGTTGTCTCTAAGACGTAAGTGTGCTTCCATTGATAAATGAACGCAGGAGATGCTGTTTGTTCTAAAATCAGATAAATCATTTAAGAGCTACGGAGAGTTGTTTGGATACGCTTTCGACATCTATAGGATAAAAAAAATAATCATATAAATAAAACAATCGATGCTAGTGAAGTAAATTTTCGATTTTTCAAGGGTCGTTTATGAGTATCGTATTAGGGTTTGATCTACAATTCACTTTGTTACCATAGAAATTAACGTCGACTTTTTGGACATGGCTGCATCTCTTCCAGCTGTTAAAAACAATATGAACGTTTTTACCATTTACGTTCAACATTCTGCAACAACAATTAATAATCATACAGCTCTGTCACCGTTTTAGCAGAGATTTTCCTGCTCTAAATATTTTTTTCCACCATCGATCGCACAAGATGATGGTTGATCCGATTATGATATCTATGATACGCGTATTATTCTGTGGAGATGGCCTCATATATTTACTAGGTCCTATCTATCTCCAACTGCTTTGAAACACTTTGGAACTGAGTGCTGGGAAATCGAACTATGGCGGCACCCAATATTGCAGCATTTGCTGGAACAGGATCCACGCATCGCCATAAACGGAGCGGCATATTCTAAAACGCTTTAGTTCTTTGTTAGCCTTTAAATCGCCAAAATCTTTGTTATAACTATCGTCTGAACTTCAAATCATTAGCAGTTTCTCCTCTGAACACTTGGCAGATGGCTAAGCTACTCCGCGGATAATCTTTAAATGTCAATACAAACGGTCAATGTGGCGACTGTAACTTATTAAAGGAAGAAAAGCTATAACTGTAAAAATTAAAAGTAAAAAGCTTTGTCTGTAATTGCACAATTAAGGTGTACTTTTTCAATTATGAAAAACATAAATTCCCATGTAGGACCGACAAATTGGGAATTTTTACCCAAACTATTCTCACTTTCTGATATCGTAATGTTACAGAACTACTCACTGTGTAGTTCTAATAATAAAAACTAACCATTTGGTTACAATCTTCACGCCCGATCCCACTTATGTGCGCAAGCACTTCACATAAATTTTCTTATATATAGATATATATACTGTGTATGGGGATCAATATAAAGCGTATCTTTAGTGTTACGTATTAGCGAATCAGCGTACTTGTATATCTTGCACAATGAGACAAGAACGAAATAAAACCTTACGAAAAAGTACCTTCGACGAAATATAGAAGCTTTTAGGCGACTCTATAAGCTCTCGGTAAGCACATATACTGCGGAAACAAGACAAGGACATATGGTCACACCGCGCGTAAGCCGTAACTATGCAGACAATCGGATGGACCTTCTGGAGCCATAGACAAACTGTACGCAAGGGATCCATGTAAACGCTCCAAAGCCTATAACTAACTTTATATGTAATTTGCGGTAACCTCGTTATCGACACTACCAAAAGCTGTAAAAATACTGACGTTCAACTCGCGAGATATGCCTCTACGGTTAGTGTGCAGTAATTTTCCTTCATTAACAGGGTATCGTTTTATATATAAAAGACGCATCGAGGGCAATTTTATGAAAGAAAAAAAAAAAAAATAGAAATTGACTAGAAACTTAACGACCAGTCAGTACAGTTACATCTTCATCGTATTGGCGTTGTCATTTCACGTAAAGGCTGTCGGCTTTTACTTAAGTCTTTTCTAATCAGCTTTCAACGTTTGTAAGTCTCCAGCTGTTGTAGAGAAGATCTTGGATATCGTCTAATACTAATATCTAATATTATACTCTGATAGACTTTGTAATTTACAGGCCTATTTCTACTATCTCATTGAGAGGGAGTATTTTAGTGAAGCAACAGCTTCACCAGAAGACAGTGCCTTTATCTTATACACAAATAGGCAGCGATTAAAGTTCGGAAGATGTCGTTGAAAAACGTGACGAAAGCCACGGCGGCGACGAGAAGTATGTCACTAATAAGCTGAACCTTCGTTTCAGTTCCCAGATGAAGCTTAGTACCTAGCTCAAACCAAGAGTTCCTGGAATTGATTTAGTACGCAGTTATGTTTGGATAACATTTATAAAACGGTGTAACGTGTGTAAACGTTCCAAAATAGTGGAAGTTGCCAAGCACATTAAAACAAATACATTAATGTTAAAAAGTTTCAGCTCCTGACCAAAATCTGATCAAATTAAAATAAAAACAATCAGTGGCCCTTTTTGTGAGTGCACTAAATTAGAATAAGTTGCGAGTGAACAAGATACCATACATATACTATCTCGTACTCAATCGTATATGTCACGTTGCTGTATTAGTTCATAATATTCCGTTGTCAGTCTTCTGCTGTGAACCGTCTTGCTCAAATTATACAGCCAGGTAGTCATCGAATCATACGTATGTGCATAGCTATGACAAAAAAAAACACTTGAAAAACCTCTCCAAGAAAAACGTGTAACTTTTTTTGTGGTCATCGTCTACTCAAATGCTGACGCATGAGCTGCATTTGAATCGTCGCTCGAAGTGCTTGATCGCTCAGCTGACGTCCTCGATCAGCTTCGTCGCTTTTGTTTTCGCATAAGCAACGGCTGAATATTGAACGTTACGAAAGACGGCTCCTCATCGCTTTCTGACGAAGACTCTTTGCTCGAAACGCCAAGCCGAGGCGCGCTGTTAACGCTAGCGAATGAAATCGTGCGCGTATTTTCGAGCTGCCTCTGTCCATCACTACTTCGGTCTCCATCCTTAGGCTGAAGCCTTCTTCTGGGCAGTCTGGCTTTTAGCAGAGTTCGTACCTGAACTTCTTTCCTCATTTCTCTCACAGCTACAGCTTGCCGGGAACAGGAGACACGTCGCGTCGGTTTTGCCGTCTCTGTGTTTCGATCAATTCGTTTTGTAGCTGATTGACAAGTTGTCGATTCATCGTTAGCTCGGGGCAGCGGCGAGTGCCTGCCGATTTCTCGTCGCAAGATCACCCCCCCCCCCCCCAAAAAACTCCGGCCGACGAGCACAAGTGCCTGATTTTGATCTAAAAAAAAAAAAAGAAAAAACCCTTATAGACTCATTAAAATGAAGTAACTGTTATGAGTGAGATTAGTTGCATGTTTATAGACCTAACATTCATCGTTAAGAGACTCCCTCTAAACTCCTTTTAGCGCAGAAAACAGATGCATTTACCTAAAGCCGCCGAGTACAGTTTATTCCGGTAAAATTTCTAATATGCTTCATTGCCAGAGTAATCGATGCTTATCTCCAGCTTGTCCTAGTTTACGAAACGAGCATCATAAACCGTTGCTATCGACCAGCTGCGAAGGAAACCTCGATGAGCATTTGATGGGCGCATGTAGCTGTTCACAATACGTAAAGCCATTTTGATGGCCTCTTCTTGTTTCAAGGGTTCATTGTTGTATGGGGATCGGAAGGTATTCGCGCAAATTACGTGGCATTATCGAGAATTAGAACGAAGTGATGACGCCAGAATTCTGAGCGAGCTCTACATAGTACATCTCAGAGAATCGATTCTACATGTATTGTATATTAGAAGAAACACAATATCATTATTTTACATTCATAGGTAGACTGTTTTCACTCCAACGATTCAATAAATAGATGGACATTTCCTAGGATGCGTATAAGAGTCAATGCCTTAAACCCGGGCGTACTTACGGTTGAGAAAGGTCCATTTGAGTATAATTTCGAGTACCAAGAAATGCAAATCCATTCCGACTCTGCGTATCGGCTCAATGTTTTAAGCAGCTGTGTATGTGACCGTGTACGGGCCTTCGGGGACGCTACGGCCTTAAAGGTGAGAGCGCGATGTTAATGAGAATCATGGATGAGCCTGTGCATTCGAGATGGCACCTAGGTAAAGGAAGGATTGGTGCATTTTGGGCTGGCAAAGGTTTTTTTGAGTTACTACATAGTTATTTTAAGGAAAGTTCGTTGTTTCTTTGCCTGTCGTCTTGACAAACGCTTCATTATATTAATACCAACGCTTCGGCTGGCTTGAGAACGCTTTCCGTAACCGTATTGTAAACATCAGCAACGAGAATCTAGTTTGAATTTCTTGGCTATCGACAAAACTCTATGTAATTTATTCTGAAAGTTTTTCTTTGTGGTCCTTAGAAAACTTTTACTTTTCTTCTACCGTAGACATTGAAAAATACTACTGTCCTAATCAAAGAACGGCACGCTATTGATGCATAAACTTTAAAAAATATTTAGTGTCGTGACATACTTTCATTCAATCGCGTTCTCAAATCTAGCGATGTCGTCAGTTTTCTAGCGTAGACTTCATTTTGAAGGTATCCCCATGAAAGAAGCCAATTGGTGTCAGGTCCGGGAAACGAGCAGAGTATTTTCTGGGACCTCGTTGTCTAACTTACCTGTTGGGAAGGTTCACATCAGGATATGCTCGTGGATCACGACGATAGTGTAAAGGTGCTTCGCCCTGCTACAAATGAAGTTTGCCATCTTCATTGAGCTCCTATAGAATACGTGGTAAAAAAGGTTTTCGCAGTTTATTTCAGTAACCGGCATAAGTCATTGTAGTGTTAAAAAATTGTTCAATTAAATCCTTTGCTTGAATTGCTGCACTTCATTAACTCTTGGTAAATTTACACGCCATTCCTAAACAAAATGTGGATTTACGGTTACCCTATAGGCGCAATTACACCGCTTAATTGTGCCATTTTTTCTGAATATAAGTAAACGCTGTACATAATCTCCTCCGGAAACGGTGCATCCTGGTCACATTTCTCTAAATTTCATTCGCAAAATCGTTTCTTATTCGGTTCGGATCACCTTCATTGACAACGTATACTGTTCTGAAAATGTAACTCATCAGCAAAACCTTAAAATGCGATGGACACTTGATTTTCTTATCTCAGGCCCACGGCCTGATTGTCCTACAGATTGCTGGCCTATCTTATTGTTATTTTTGTCTTCTTTTGGCTGACGAAGCTCGTTGACGTATTTGGTCTTTCGGAATATTGTATATGAATTTCTAAAGAGCTGCATCTGTTTCAAATTTATTTATTTATTATCCAAGTAATTGCACGTTGCCTAGGTGGATATGCTTGAAGCTCCTTGCGATATTATTTTTGTGGTTCCGCTACATTTTTATATTTCCGATAAAAAAAAACACATTTTTTTCAAATTAATTTGGGTTCACTCGTTGTTTTCAATTAGTTTTACCCTTAAATTAAAGAACTTTTAGAAAGTTATGATCCGCTAAAAAATATGACGACTGATAAATTCCCTAAAATTTGAAACACGTGTCTATCAGGTGCTAAGCTATTCAGGAACAAACAGACAAGAACAAGCAAAGGTAAGCCCCACTACTATACCTGTGAAGCTCAGTAAATTTCCTCTACGATTCTAATCTTGTATGGACCATATTTTGCTAAAGCTCAAACATTAGATCCACTTTCTGGACCGGGTTGGTCGTATCGCCCCTCCTGCTAAGTCATTCAACTGCTACTTTTCATCTAACCGCTTCTTTTTCCTTTGGTATTCCCCTTTCGCCAAAAGTTAGGTAGTTAGAGCGGACAGTCATTCCAATTTGCTGAGCCACAACGCTCTATTCTAATAACAACCTCCCAATCCGACATCCCGTTCACTTCGATGTTCTCGATGATAGTTTTTCATCTTATGGCCGCCTTGCAACCTCAATCTCCGACTTACGCCTCCTTACCCCGGGGATCAGTTTTACTGCCGCTTGCCGGTTCAAGGTCATCATACTCTTTCTATCCTTTATCTTGCGCGGGCGGGCGATGGCTGGACAGAGATTCAAAGCAGACTAAGCATTTTTTTACCCTTATTCGCTTTTGCCCCGTTCGTCTGCCGGCCGCTCGTCACCTCGCTCTCTTTCACCCCTTTTTTCGTAAAACGAAAAACGTGATGAATGTCAGCGATCAGTGGGTTAGCTAGTTGCTAGTAGAAGTACCAAGCTAGGAACGAACGCCGGCGTCTGAGCCGCCGAAGGCCAGCAAGCAAGCAAGTGAGCATCCAGCCTTCACGAAGCTTCGGAGGGTAGGCGTGTCATTAATCTGAACTCCTTACAGTCGATTTAGCAGGAAGAACAGCGGCGGTAGCAACGGCGCCAACTAAGGACACTAGCAGAACAGAGCTGGCTAGAATAAAGGCAGTGACCCGAACGAGAAAGACTCATAGGGTGAAGTATGAAGAAGAGAGTGGGTCTGGCTAAAAAGGCCAAAAAAAAAGCGAAGGCAAGCCGCGTTTCCGCGATCTGCGTACCCGGGAGGCGATCTGCTATTGCAGGCGATCACCATGATCGCTTCATACGAAGGTTGCTCCAGATCCTCCTTTTTTCCCCTGGAGGCCTGTGGAAGGCCAAGCAGAATGGAACAAAGCGCGAGAGGAAAAGTCAAAAAAAAGCCGGAGGCGACGGAAACACTGAGAACTAATCAGATCGAAGCGAAGCGTCAACAGAAAAGTCTGGTGAAGACTAGGCCATCGACAAAACTTAGACCATAGAAAATGATCGGCATCCTATTGACTACTAGTAGATGACAGACCAAGCTATCAACCGGCGATACGAAGCGACAACCCGGCGCAGGAAGACGACCTCAGGAGCTCTCTTTACCCTCAAGAATGGCTGTCTTCGCTGTCCAGCCATTTATCGATAATAAGACAACTAGCTACAGCACAAACGAGACAATCCTTCAAGTGTGCGCATTGAGGGCTGTTTATCGTAGATGCATACCAGCAAAATATGCTAGGAAAGTATATGGCAATAGTAATGATGGCATACACATTGGCTAAATCCTATAGTGACAGAAATTGGATCTTTCCTTTGACGACCTATAGATATGTGGATTAGGGTTCGCTATAACTCTAATGAGATGCATGCAGGAGTTCATATATGCTGTGACTGACTTAATAAGTTCCCGTTATCTGCTCGCGTCAAGGTGTCGTTGAAATCTTGTCCACATACTGTTGACTGATCTGAGCCGATTACTGTTCTGCTATCGAACATATCCACCTAGTCATGTTACCGCACGCACTAGATTTTGATTGAGTTTTGAAATCCTGCAATGGATCAAAGTGTCTTCTTACTTCGCCCAGTTGATGTGACGGGAAGCATCTTTAAGAGAATGCGCTAGGAGTGCTAAGGACGGTAGTCCTGGCACGCGTGTATTCTTCAGCTGGGATGTAGCTGTCATGATGAATCAATGGAGCCAGTACGGGCACTTGCTGAAACTGGCTTTTTTAACCCGCGATGCACGCATTATCCCGAATAAGTCGGTTTTGACAAATAGATCGACGTTGGGAGTCTCTCTCCGCTGGCTTTGTGTTGTCATTGCTTCAATGATAAGTTAAACGAACTTGTCAGAAGGCCAAACAGGGATGGAAAACTGATGACGGAAATAGGGTGACAAAGGCCCGCAGCTACACGTAACGATGCCAAGCCCATTTGCGCGAGACGATTGAAAAAAGATAAACAATTACTCGTCTCCGCGTTTGAAATTTAGTATGCTACGGTATAGTCATGATTGCATTTAATGGACGCGTTCGTAGACATGAAATCGAGCTCCATTGGGGTAGTAGTTGCGCCAATGTAGAATCGTCATTCCCTGTCAAATGTGTTAAAAATGACTCAAATTATCAACGTTCTTGGTTTATACGGCAACGGAAGAGTTCGATCATCGTTATCGACTAAGATCACCGTCCTTTATAATGATTGTACAAATAAATCACAGAAACCTGTATTACATAACGCAAAGTCAGGACCGATAGAACTATGGACCTTTTTTCTACAAAAATTATTAGTAATATCTCTATTAATTAGCGTGGTTACTATTAAAGGTTCTAAATTGAGAAAATGGAGTTATCGATATTATGGTAGCTTTATACGCCTAGTATAAGTGTAGACTGAATTAGGGCTGGAACTAGACTGCGATTCCAATTGGATTCAATGAGTTTGCCTAAAGTATACGACAGGCCACAAGATTATACGATCGATTATGGAAATACAATGCTCTGTTCGGGTCGGTCAAAGCCTTTCGTTCTTTAGGCGGTACGTTGAATTTTCTTCTAATGAAAACTTTCTTGTCTCTTAATAGACCCTAGAAATCAATCGTCCATCAATAAATAGTCAGACAATACAAATTCTTACAACAATACAAACTATTACGTAATTTCACTGTATTGTGGTAGTTTGGATCAAATAGTGGTTTAGCTAAGTCGTTATCGATGTCCAGGATAAACCAAGTTAACAAGTTGCAGTTAAACTATAATAATATACTGTAATATAGCTACTTTTGATCGACGGGTAAAAAATTGACGACATTCAAAATACCTGAACAACATGGACATGTCTAGGTTAAGCAAAAAAAAACAACGACGGGACATCATTGGAACGCTATGGGGCCAACGTCTCCTTAAAATATACCTAGCTTACTGGTTTTAACCCACTTTAGCGCTGAATTTTTGAACATTTGGTAGATACGCTCAAAGACGCTATGGTGGAGATATAATCGAAGTCTATTTAACCTGTTCTCGTAGATCAGTGGCGATATTAAACGTGACACGCCCTTTGCCCCGTGTGCTTTTAATGAAGCAAATCGCTGAGTGGATTACGACAGTGGGATGAGAAAAAGAGCCTGCAAAAAAGAGGGCTGTACATCGTTAAAAGCTATGATCGTTACACAGTTTTGCTCGTCAATAATCATCCATTCGTTATTCTTTTTAATGAGGCATTACGTTGTTTAAATTGACGGGGCGGTAAGTATACTTGAAAAGCGGAGAAAGTTGTCGGAGCACCCCATAAGTTGCTGCGGAGGTGAAAAATTACTAGTGGGGACACAGCTGGTGAATGGCTAATCCCTATCGTGTTCATATTGGTACGGCTTAGCTTTTTCTCTTCGCAGTAACATTCAAAATGGCGTCTTTCTATTGCTGCTGCTGAGATTCTTTAAGCTAAATATGATTTTTTTGCTATTTTAAATTTGGCGTGACATTTCATGAGCTCGTATAATCAGCCTCTCGAGGCAATCCTTCTTGCTAGCATACGTTGAACGCTCTTGAGTATTTATATAATAATTTTCCGTAATATTTAGAGCCAGTTTTTGGGATCAGTTAAAATAGAGTACTCTGCGTTCCATCGTCATATGCCTTACGTCGGTTTGAAAAAAGTTTTATACTGTTGATGAAAATATATTTCTTAATTAAAAGCCAAGTTATAACTTCATACCTTCCTTCCCATACACATGGATCATGATAAACTTTATAGATTTCAATGACAATAATATCTCTCAGATTCATTGTTCCAAGTTTCATCATTATCCTTCTTTTTAACAAATAGTCTTTTTCCTATGAGCTGCTTTTTACATATACGCACTTTTATACAGACACATCCTTACGGGCATATATTAGGCTAAGTTACTCTAAGTGACGCTCTAATAGGATTCGCTGATTCTCGTGGTGTCTCCCGTAACTGCAATGGGTTAGTCAGGGCGCTCTGGCTCCGTCTTTGCGAACGTCACACTTGGTCCGGTCACCCACTCTGCAGACAGCTTTCTTCGTAAGGAATATAAATAGGGTTTATATTATAGGGGTCCCCCACAAAACAGGGTCAAAAAGGATAACAAGTGTGTTGTATATTGTATTATAATGGTTGCACTGCTGGGCCGGCAACCCAGAAAAAAGAATGGGTCTTTCACCGATGGCTGCCATGGCCACGATATAAACAGAAGGATAGAGACCCCCCATCGTATCAGTACTTTTCGTCTTGCTGCCATGTGGAACTGGTAGAAGACAAAGTAATCTTCATTTGTCTTACGCCCTGTCTTAAGCAATAATGAACTGCCAACCAATAGATAGAGTCGTTTACCGTGGATATGGTGATAGCGTTAGTCGTCTGCTTTGCTATCTTGTGCTCGTTGCGTTCGGCCAGGGGGCCAGGAGCCACCGCGCATTGGAAGGGCAACCAACTGACCAGAATCATAAGCAAAAAGCACTGCATCAATTAAACAATTCGTGTTTGTGAGCTTCTCTGATATGAAAACTATTGTTGAGCGTATCGCTGTTAGAATTAAGTAAAGTTATTGAAGTGCTAGATTCGTAGATGTCGTGTAGTAGGGGGCTGTTGCTATCTGCCAGAAAGGGCAGATTGAATATAATATTAGACGTATATATTGGAAATATAACAAATGATGTACACAGTGGCGTAGGTAGACGAGATCGATGAAAAGATATCTGGAAGGTTTTATTATTTTTTATATTATAAACATATTTTTTTTATCTGACGCGATATGTGCCCGATTTAATCTTTTCACCGGAATGCGGAATGGGATTAAGTACTTCGGGGAGATCTACAATTGCGAGTAGTTTCCGAAAGTTGCTGATAAGGCGCTGATCAGAGGAACTATCAAAATAACACGACGCTTCTCGTATCCTTACTAGAAAATATTCATTTCGGTGAAGGTACGATTTATTTTCTATTTTCAGCTTCTTATTGAATTAAAAGTACTTGCCGTTGTATATCTGTGTTTGGTAAATCTTAGAAGAACGCAAATGATCATCGCAGCAGACTCTTATCTTAACTAATAGATAGCATCATTTCCAGCTAAACGTAGTAAATACGGATGACAATTGAAGGATGTAACTACAAACTTCAATCGAGTCTATTTAGACTGGAGTTTTCGCAGTACAGTCACCAACGATCATTTCATCTAGAAAAATGGGTACGTACGACCCCTCTCTTACCTAAAGGGTTAGTTAGCTCTGCCTTGTTACGGAACAGTTTTGGTCCATGACTGAGAAGCAAGTACTTTCGTTTGGCTATCTTGTCATTATCCTTTTGAGATCCCCGGTGTATTAGAGAGGTACTTCCTGCCCGTTTCACAATACGGCTGACAAGTTAGTGGGCCATCAGATTAGCTAATTTTCGAAATTGACGGCTGTTCATAACGAGCCTTGTCTACTGGCCATTCAGCATATCATAACGCTATCGATATAGACTTTAAACATGTTTCCTTCAATGAAAACTCAACCCAATACAAAAGAAGTCTGGAATCTTTGTCTAAAACAGAAACTGCTTATATGTGACGAGAGCCAGATCAGTGTATCATCACCTGTCCACATATGGACCGAGCAGCAAATAGGGTGCTTCAGCTATAGAAATCTATATCATTATATGTTTACATGCGATGCAATCTGACGTATCGATAGAAATATCGGCAAAGTTTATATACTGTACAAGAAGCATCGAAGGGCAGGGTAGGTATGTTCTTTTTGTGTGGTCCGCAATTGCCCCATACAGCGAAAGACTGACCGCTGGCTGTAACCAAGGTTTTCCGTACCCACCCGATTTTCGCTATCCGACAACTAAGGTCGTTTGTTCGTATTACGTCAGCTGCAGGCTTATGTTGTATTAAACTCAATGGCTTGCACACAATGTAAGGTGCACACATGGTTACCGGACATCACTGGCCTTTGCCAGCAGCCCTATCTAAAGTCAACATTATTATCAACCGTCTCTACCAGACTGCCACCTAACGTGCGCTTGCACTCACTTTGAATAGATGGTATTATTTAATCAATTTTTTTTTTTAATTATCTACAACGTCTAAAAAGCGCGCCGCGTGCTGATCGCATATTGCGATACCAGATGCGGCCGTCTAAACTAGGGTTGAAACATACGCTGAGAGCGCATTAATATCATAAAAATCTGAGCGAAAAAAAGAACATTTTATTTCACCAGATCGTAAAGAGTGTCACATTATCTTTTGTAAGTGTGACATGTAACCATGGATCATCGTGCAACGGAATAAAATAACAATGTCACAGGCAAACAATGAATTAATTAAGGATATGTAAACCGTTAATAAATATCATGCAGCTCCTTTGCGGTCTCCTCTCTCCGCTGCACAGCTGTGCATTTACATTCGTCTTGCTTCTATCGAAACGCTCTCATTCCGCAAATTTCCCCATTGTCCCTGATTGTCGTTGTCCTAAAATGTTTGGATAAATCATTAGTTTTTTAGTTGTGCCAGTACTACCAGCAGCAGTTGAGTTGGTTGAAGTAGCCGTGAGGAACATCGTTCGCCCACAGAGCAGACTGGTGGAATACAGTCAGCCTTGTTCGGTGTCTAGGTTTGCAGCGCTTCTAGGTCTTTTTACTTACTTGGAGACTATTGATTTTTGAGGTAGATAGCTTTTGCCTAACTTTTTCCTGTGACCTTTTTGGTTCGATCACTTGAAGCGAATCCCCCGCGGCGTCACTCGAACCGTAAGTCACAGTCGAGTCAAGTACTGTTCTATTCCTCAAGGGGAACTTTCTGTACATAAGTGAAATGAATACGCTTAGAAGTCGTGGTACTGCTCAACGATGTGTAAT